AGGCCGGGCCCGGGGAGCGGAGTGGAAGGTGATGGGGTTCGGCAAGGAAGGCGGCGGGCGGTGAGGACGAGAGAAAAGCGAGGAGAAGGCAAGGGAGACTGGGGAAAGACGGGCGTGAATGATGAGGCTGTGCAGGGTGGTCACATAGAGAGAGGCGGAGGAGGGCAAGTTTCCTCCTTTGCCTTCCTGGGGTCCGAGACAACCAAGTCCCGAAAGACTTTGCAGGTGGCACATCTCTGCTTGGCCAGGTGCGCAGCATCTCCAGCGGGCACAAACTTGCGTGCTGCCCTTCCTGGGGATACACCAGGTTGAGGGCAGTCGTGGTGAGTCCTGGTTCTGCAGGAGTGGTGTGGGAATAGTGGACAGAGTGCTTCTGAAGAGAGGGAGAGAGGAGTGAGGAATGCTGATTCTCTCATAAAGACAGCACAACATTGGCCAAGTCAGTTGAACTCCCAGAACTTGGTCCTCTGGGGTTGTTTAAGCTCCCTGGCTTCACCCTCAGAAATTTGGTGGGAAGAATGGTTAAGGTCACACGTTTTAGAAGGAGAAGCACCTCAGTGCATCTTCCTGCCCAGCAAGTCAGGTGGCAGGGAAGGATCCCAAGATGAATTCCTGGCCAAGGCTCTCTGGCAGGGAGGAGGGGGAACCCCGGGAGGAGGAAGCCTTCTAATTGTGTCACCTTAGGGAAGATGCTGAGGGAAGACATCTCAAAAGTGAGAGAGTTGACCTGGATGATCTCCAAGCCTCCCCTGATGTCTAAGATGGTGTAAGTCTGTGAATCAGTTGCCTTAGGAATCTGGGGGTGAGAGAGAAGGAATTCAGACATGGGAATTTCGGGACTGATCAAAAATCCTGAGATTAAGAAGTGATGGGGTTTTGCACCACCTCTTCCTCTGCACGGGAAGGCTGGGTCTAATCTACAGTGGAGAACTGAGCCTTGAAGTTGTTGACAGTTGTTAAGGGGAAACAAACCTTTACCTAACTTAGAATGAACAAGGGGTGCAGAACAGATCATGCCCAAGCAGTGCAGTGGACCTCTACTAATGTGTTTGAAAGGAGCTTTCTGTGCTTCTTTGGATTTGGTGAGGTGTTTGCAGTGTAGAAGGCTAACTACCTCTCTTTTTCAGAAATACTTTATTTGCTGTTTCTTTATGTTTTTGCCTTGGCCAGAGAGTGGCAGGTACCAGAGAGCTCCATCAAACTGTCAGGCTTGGAGTTCTCTGAATTAGCCCTTGAAGCCAAGCAGGTAACCAGAAAGAATAATTTTCTCTCACTCGGGAAGATAATAAATAATTCAAGAGCAGGTTAATTAAATGGGTGGTTTGTGCACCTGGTTGACTAACAGACATTTGACTCAAAATCAGGCATTGCTGTGATCCCATTGTTGGCCTCTAGTCTTCGGGTTTCCAACACTCACCCCCTTGTCTAGCGGTAGCTGAATGCAGTCGGATTCCAAGTCTGGGTCAGGTCCTGACCTCATCCCTGACCTGGCAAGATTCCAGTTTCTAATGATGAAAAGAATTTGTGCTCTTTGAATTCAAATTGCCGTAACAACTCCTAAGTCTCAGCCCCGTTTCCTTTCCTAGTCTTTTCCTTCTCCCTCTGTCCAAATCAAACATCCCAAAGCCCTACTGCGTCGCTTTGGTTGCTGAACATTGAAAGGGGAAATCTGAGACACATCAACACAATCTGTGTACGCGCATTGTATGTGTGGGTGTTGGTTATAGGCGGGTAATTATTTCAACCAAAATTTATGTTGGTCTGTGTTAGACTCTGCGTTTGCTTTCTTTTCAGCTTATATTCCTTGTATATTTCTCGATCTGACGAACCATATTGATTGCTTGCTCTGTATTGACATCCCAAATAGTGAATTGGGCACTTAACAGTATATAGCAGTTAAAAGACCCACTCCACTGCCATTTCTGGGTTGTAAGATAAGAGGTTAGCACTTTTTCTTATTTAATGGTACACACCTGCTTAGGGATAGTAAAAGTAGTTACTATTTATTGAGTGTCTGTAGTAGGCCAGTCTTAGGCATTTACAGAGGACCCCTCAGATGTACCTCCAACTGTTTACCTGCCTCCTCTTCCCACTGGAGGTCTGGAAACAAGGATGGAGGTGGCTGGCTGTAGCACAACATTTCTTTCCAGTCTTGTTTTTTAGTTTGAAAATTTATCTGCATTTGTTTTCAAATGAGAAGATTTCAAATTACCAATTTATTATATATGAGCCACAGTCTTTGAGTACATTTGTCCCATTTGGAAGATGCAGAATAAAACCGAGGGTTTTGGTTTTTTGTTTTGTGTGTGTGTGTGTGTGTGTGTGTGTGTGGCTTTTCATACCATCAGGCACATGGCCCCTTACTGCCCAGGCAGCCTTTTTATCCTCACAACTGACATTTTACAGATGAAGAAACTGTGTCAGAGATGTTATGAAACTTGCCCAAGGTTGCACAGCTGGGATGTATTAGATCTGAGATTTTAGCTGAGTCTGAGACTCTTATGCCCGTGTCCTTTTTTTTAACCCTAGTCACTGCCTTTGGATTGTTTAACTCTGATAATAGTGAATAATGTTTCTATCCAAAGGATTACCTTTCTCTGTATAAATGAAATATTTGGAGTTGGAATTTCTGATTGGAGTTGAAACAAGAAGATGACACCAAACATACTATGTATCCTTTTTTAAAAGAGGAAATTCTGTTTCATTTTTTAAAAAATTATTTTTCTGCTTATAAAATTCTATAGGTTCATTGCCCCAAATTTTGAAAGTACAGGGACATAATAAAGGAACAAAATCACTACTAATCTTATCATCCGGAAGAGATTTGGGTGTCTCTTTTTCCAAATATGGTGTATACGTGTATCTTAAAAAATTGCATACTGGATGTTTAGAAGAAAAAAAAAGTGTTCTAAAGGGTTTCAGATGTGAAGTGATGTCTGCTTCCAGCCAATATAAAATGAACAGTGTTTATTAGTAAGAGCCCTCTCAGCTCCAGCTTGGTTGAGCCTGTTTGCAGACTGTCTCTTATATAAAGACAGATGAAACCGTTCTTTGGAAAGATCAAAGATTCATACCAGTTATTTCAGGTTAAAAAAAATTTTTTTTATATCTACAGTCACTTTTTAAAACTCTGAGTTTTGACAACATACAAATAAAATTAATTCCCAATAATATCTCATTGGATTCCCGGCAGCATTTGCTACTGGAGAGTTTTAACGGGGCCCTGACAGATGATAACAAGTAGTACATACTGAGGGACAGTTTTGCTAGGTGAAATGTCTTTATGGTTGATCCTTTCAGCCAGTTCCAGCCTGTCAGAGATTCAGTCATAGGGGACTGAGTAAACCTCTCAGTTTCTCAGATTATCCATCTGGAAACAAAAAAATGGGTTTACATAAATGATAGGATGCCTGGGGTTGACGATAGCCTGTCCCTTGAGGACCCTACTTTGGCCTATTCACATGATGCTGAGCTCTTAGCCATATCTTACCTGGTCTCCACTTTGTGTTCTGTCTGAGACATCCCCATACCCCCCACCCCCGCCGGTATCTCACTTTGACATGTGACATTTGCACCTCCTGCCTCCCCGATTCCCCTCCTCTCTGGTGCCTCCACCTCGTTTTCCACTGCCTCATAGCTAGCACAGGAGGATGCTTCACGAGAGCAGGGATCCTTTCTGCTCACCATGGTTTCTCCGGAGGCTGGAACTGTGCCTGCCGTGTAGACGGGGCTTGGTAAATCCTCATAACTTAATGATGAGGCTGGCAAATATTCTTAATTTGGCATAGAAAGAGAGGCAAACAGGAGACGTTCTTACATATGCTAAAATACAGCCAAAATATAAAACACTAAAAGAGATATCTAAACCAAGATTAAGCTTTTAGACTCTCATAGAGCCACCAGCATTTCTGTGCGAAGCGTCGGAGGCATTAAACGACTTGGTTGGGACAGTCCCTGCTACAGGGCACAGGGACTGCAGACTAAGGGTGGGATCTCAGGATATCTTGTGGGACAATGTCCACATCAGTTTGGTGTTGGGGGGGCCTGTCACGGAGCGGTATCTACCTACCCCTGCCGCCAGTCTCCCACTCTTGCTGTCTCACAGCCCCAACTCCATAGGTAGATTCTATTGCCTCCTGGAAATGTGCATTTTATTCCTCTTTGCAAAAGGAAAGACTTCTACCCTCTTGGATCTAAATTCTGCAGTTTTTTCACTGTCTCGCTCACATCTCACCATCGTCAACTCTGCTCACTCCAGCCTCCCACAGACTCCCGAGACAGCTCACATGGCTCACTTGCTCTTGTGCACATATGACCTTGCATGAGGACACACTTTCACATGTGTGTGCCTGGGCTCTCTATGTGCAGGAGAAGCACATGGAGGGCAGGGCCCTTACCTGTCCACGTTATGCATTTGCAGAACTTAGGAGGACACAGTGACCACGTG